AGTCTTGTACATGGGGGCATCTTATAGTCGGAAAAATATGGTACATTTAAACTAGAAACTAAAACTTCACTACTAAAGTAACAGAAATGTGATTGCATCAAACATGCAAGCATACTCACATCTACTGCCACAGATTTAGATGGCAGGCAGCGCCTTATTAACACACCCCTATCGTTAGCTCTCATAAGCACAAAAAAGAAACAATAAAAGACTTAGTATATATTTGTTGTCACAAAAATTACCCCATTAACTTTGTTTTGGAACAAGGGGAAAGGAAGCAAAGGCAGTCTTTCATAATATTTGCCTACTAGCAGTTCAAACTTTATCTGGAAGCTTAAGTTTCAGATCCAAAGGGAGCAAGGTGACTCAGAACACATGCAAGCACACAAGTAACACCTGTTGGAAACACCTTAAAGAAATGTGTCATTCGCATCCTTAGCTGCTGCTTAACTACAGGAAAAGACACAGTTGCTTTAAGGTGTTTCTGACACATGCTACATTCATGACTGTGCATGATCCAAATCACATCTGTCCCTTTGAATCTAAATCTGTGGCCTCATCTGATTCCTGGCTCCTACTCTCCATATACCTCTGGTTCTATATCCAATGCTCCTTCCACAAACCTATTTTTCAGTCTTTCCTGATTTTGCTTTTTTCCACAGTATTTAAATTTTGCCTTGTTCTCATCATGGTCTACTTTGTTTCTCCTATCTACTTTGCTTGTTCTGTTTTCACTCCAGTTCAGTAGGAACTGGATAATTTTCTCACCAGTTCTATCTTCTGTATCTCCTCCAATATCTGGCATATTAAAATGCATATTCTTCTAGCTTCATCTCTATATCCTGAACAATCTGCTGGAACCTATATATTACATCTATAGGGTAAACTGCATCTTGCAAGTACTCCCTGCAAAATCTAGTGGACCCTTTAGACACAAGATACACATAAAGTGAACTCAGAAAGCAATGTTTCCAGGCACTCATATAACCTGCAGAAAAAATGAAATCCCCCCCTCTCTTACTGACAACTGATCTACATATATACAGAGAGAAAGTGTGACTACACATGTCTAAGAATCCATGTACCCTACACATGATCAGCAGCAAACACAGAAATTCATAATAATTTCAGCTTATTGGTATGTGCAAACTTAGTTAATATCTATTTTTTTCAGCACCCTCCTTAGTAAAGCATTATATATGGAATTTATGTCATGTTTCTGAAAAAGGAAGCAACTCCACTATTTTAAACTTAGAAGACTTTTACAAACTTAGCATATTTCTTTCAAAGAGGGCAACTGCACTAGGAAAAATATTGATGGAAGCTAACAGAACATCATTTATATCTTTCTTGATATAGGAAGAATAAACTGTTTGCTAGGATTATTTTGAAAATCACTTTTAAGGAAAGATTTGACTAAGAAGTTCTAAAGTGTCACAGCAAAACAGACAACTTAAATAGGAATGAAATTATGTTAGTTGGCATATCATATAATTAGTTAGACCTGGTGCTACAAACTGATGTGACTTACATATCTTGATTTGCCCTGATTCTTATGTTTCTTGCTATTTTATTCTATTTTATATTAGCATTATCATAGTACAAATTATTAACATCAAACATATTGTTTTAACTATCAAGCTACAGGAATGGAATCATTAAAAAAATCACTTAAACAGGGTATTCTATGTTGATAAAATATTTAATTATTCCAAACAATTAAATGTTTAATTTAGCAATTTACAATATTATTTGTAATAACTATTTACCAGTGACAAGTTTTAGATGTGCTACATTAAGAACTAATTTCAGAAATCAAGTTTCTTAAGTTCTAAGATAGATCTGGGTGTTCTTAAGGATCACAGAGATAATGGGATTCACTCTAAATATGAATGACCAGGATCAAACCCATTACCTACAACAACCAAACTTGTATATTCTGTTCTCTGCAAATAACTACCTGTACTTAAGTAAACTAAAATTTGTACATTAAATCAGAGTTCTGCAGTCTGCATAAACTTTGAATATCAACATTTTTAAAAAGTTCAATTTCTGCTAATCAGAAGAGGAGTAAATAATCTCTCATTTACCTAACTTTACAAAACACTGCACTACAGATCTTTTATGTCTTCCTACTGCAACCCTCCAACTCTAAGAAATGTGCTCTGGACATTCACCCAATTCTCTGAAATTGAGTTGCACTACAAAGAACACCAACTGAACCCCATTCTACTGATGAAAATACACAGCTGGATATAACACCATTTAGCAATAATCTCTGGAAACATTGTTAAAGAAATTATGGATAGATGAAACAATGATGTGTTTTTTTATTAAGCCCAGGTGTCCTAAGTGTCACAGATTACTTATTTCAATACATGGAAGCATTCTTGTTATTTTAAAAAGCATGGGAAAAAAATGGTGCTGACTTAGTGGTACTGAGTTGCAATACTTCACCCATACTAGTCCACTTATTTGTGCCTTCTAAAATGGAGATATTATTACAAGTATGGGTGGCAAAATATTTAAAATTGAAAAACCCCACTTCAAATTTGAAACAGTTGTTTCATACTCAAACCAAGTTCTGTTTAATTCAAAATGGGCTGATTCTATTGTTTGCAAGTGTTTCAAGCTCAAAACACAATTACAAAATAATTGAAACAACTCAGTTCATATATGAAACAGCTGCTTTGAAACTGAAATAACTTTCTAACTCAAAACAGGGTGTTTCCAATTAGAAATAAATTCAAAGTGTTTTGTATTCCATTACTTTTAAGCATATGTTCACAACAATTAGAAACAGTAAGAACTGAAAGATTTTCAGAACAAGTATAACAGTCTTCTGACTCGTATGTAATGCTAACATTGCTGTATATGAGTCTCCATCATTAAAAAAATATCCTAATTTCTTCCAATATGACAAAATTCTAAATTCTCTGCCATTTCTATATGAATTACATTCTTCAAAGAAATGATAGTTATCGCTTTTAACTATTAATGTAGAGATCATTAAGTAGTCATTTATAACCAACATCTTAATTTCCACAGGTAGAAAATTTAAGACAATTTCACAGAATTCAGTATTAAGGC